ATACTATTGTGTGTCTCGGGTTAAAATTAAACAATATTCACAAGCATTCATGAACATCCTGCCAACTATCAGCGAGAGGACGATTGCCGAGCGTAAGCAAGGGAAGCATTATTAATGAGAATATTTAGCAGTGAACAAATTCAAGGACTATGACCAATAGATAAAAAACCTCTCTAGTATCTCACACATCTGCCACTAAGAGACCATTTTCAGAGAAAAAAAAAACAATAGAAATGTTCATTTCAGAGTATTATAATAACATCTGTCTCTTATACACATCTAGATGTGTATAAGAGACAGGTGTTAGACGAGGGCTAAGAGACTGCCGGACAAGAGGGCAATTGGTGTTAGACGAGGGCTAAGAGACTGCCGGACAAGAGGGCAATTGGTGTTAGACGAGGGCTAAGAGACTGCCGGACAAGAGGGCAATGGGTGTTAGACGAGGGCTAAGAGACTGCCGGACAAGAGGGCAATTGGTGTTAGACGAGGGCTAAGAGACTGCCGGACAAGAGGGCAAATGGTGTTAGACGAGGGCTAAGAGACTGCCGGACAAGAGGGCAATGGGTGTTAGACGAGGGCTAAGAGACTGCCGGACAAGAGGACAATTGGTGTTAGACGAGGGCTAAGAGACTGCCTATAACTATAGCCAAGCATCAACTAAAGAGCAGCTCAGATGCCGATCTGCTCAAATATTTGTCACAAGTTATAGTACAGAGGTTAGGTAGAATAATAACCTGACATTTTAACATGTTATAAACATTGAAAACGTGACAGATTTTTATGTTTTATAGTTTATTGTTGCTGCTAATTGATTTTTTTATCCTTACACAGATATTTTTAGCATACTATTGTGTTTATAACCTAACCTATGACCTATGAACGGCTAATCTCTCTGATTTTCAAAGTGATCAAATTGTTGGTGCCCGTATGGCAGGCGCTAGTGTGACAGAAAATTCCCGAATGCTTGACGTGTTTACAGGTACTGTCTCAAAAGCAATGACCGCTTTTGAAAGAAAAGGAAAAACGTCTTCAGCAAAGCACAGGTCTGGCCGAAGGCAAAGTTGTCTGAAAGAGACCGTCGGTACCTAAATCGAATTGTGAGGGACAGTAGAAGGACAACAGCTGTTAAAATTACTGCAGACCCCAATGGACACCAACAGACCTCAATGGACACCAACAGACCTCAATGGACACCTGCAGAAACCAGTTTCCTTAAAGACTGTCCGCGAGAGCTGCACAGATTCTATGGTAGAGCTGCAATTAGAAAACTTTTGGTTTCAAATACAAATGCTTCAAAGCGTTTAGGGTGGTCCAAAAACTTACGGAACCTGTCCATCAAGCAGTGGAAAAATGTGATCTTCTCTGACGAATCATCTTTTACCTTATTTTCAACCTATGGCCGAGTTTACATTTGGAGACAGCCAAAAAAGTCATTTTAATCCCGTTCAAGTTGACAATGCCGGATCTATACAGCGTGAATTGTTGAAAAAATGGCACGAGGAACATTTTAATGAAGTTGAGCATCTCATTTGGCCACCACAATCACCAGGCCTGAATATTATCGAGCATTCATGGTCGATTTTAGAGATGCAAACCAGAAGTTGATTCATCGTCTTTAAAAGAGCTGGAGAGAGTTCAACTAAACAATGGGTTAAAATTCCTTTGGAAACAATTCACAATTTGCAAGAATCGTTACCTTGGAGAATTGATGCTGTAATTGCAGCTAAACGTTGAACTTGACCATACTAAAATATACAATGGGTGCAAAAAGTATCCAACACACAGGAAAAACTTGGTCATTTTGAATCTTAACTTTTACAAAATTGCAATTATCAAGTCAACATTAAATGATATTGCTGTTTTGATATGTATTTCCTATGTACATTTACATTAGAATAGTGTTTTTAGCGCATTTTCTAATTTATGGAAAAAATGCACTATTATGCTCGTCATGTCCGTCTATCTGTCCGTCCGTGACCTCAAGTTTTCGTCAACGAGAAAATGCGCTCTCTGTCATTCACTGCAGTGAGTACTGAGTTATATTTTTTATGTTATTTTGTTGGATGGACTTTAATTAAACAGAGTTTTTCCCTTGCGTCAGATACATTTTGCACCCACTGTATTTTGTGTTATTTTCTCAGGCAGACAACACACGTTATTTTGTCTAGCCCCTGTACTTATGCAAGCGTTGCTTGCAGATGCTGTACAGGACTAAGAAACAATGTTGCACTTGTTACCAATAATTATTAACTGTAGAATTGGAGCTACTTCTTCACGAACACTAAGAATGTAAGCTAAATTCTAACCAATATCTTCCTATAAACAATTATGATAAAAAAACAACAAGTTTCTATAAACGCGACTTGTATGTATAATATTAATAGAAAAAAGTAATGAAAGTACTCACTAATAAATGACTTCTTTAGAGTTGTCGAAATGTGTTCTAGAGTTAGAGTCTAAATTATAACCAATATCTTTATATGAACAATTATAAAAAAATATCAATAGAAAAACGTAATGTAGGTACTCGCTAATAAATGACTTCACTAATATATGACAATTACAAAAAAATGTTAATAGAAAAAAAGTAATGAAAGTACTCACTAATAAATGACTTCTTTAGAGTTGTTGCCCAGCAGCCGCTGGTTCTTGCCGCGCTCGAGCAGCGCATGCAACCTTTGGGCGGCCGCCAGACTCTGCACATAATAACATAATAATAATAATAATAATAATAATAATGATAATAATAGTAATAATAATAATATTAATAATAATAATTAATAAAAAATAATCAGTTGTGAGCTGAGTTTGTAGGCGGTAAATGAATGGCATCAATTAAACTTCATTGTTACAGCACACGTCACCTGTAGCTTGTTACAGCACACGTCACCTGTAGCTTGTTACAGCACACGTCACCTGTAGCTTGTTACAGCACACGTCCCCTGTAGCTTGTTACAGCACACGTCACCTGCTGCTTGTTACAGCAAGTCACCTGTAGCTTGTTACAGCACGTCACCTGTAGCTTGTTACAGCACGTCACCTGCAGCTTGTTACAGCACACGTCACCTGCAGCTTGTTACAGCACGTCACCTGCAGCTTGTTACAGCACACGTCACCTGCAGCTTGTTACAGCACGTCACCTGCAGCTTGTTACATCCCCTGTAGCTTGTTACAGCACACGTCACCTGTAGCTTGTTACAGCACGTCACCTGTAGCTTGTTACAGCACGTCACCTGCAGCTTGTTACATCCCCTGTAGCTTGTTACAGCACACGTCACCTGTAGCTTGTTACAGCACACGCCACCTGTAGCTTGTTACAGCACGTCACCTGCAGCTTGTTACAGCACACGTCACCTGTAGCTTGTTACAGCACACGTCAATGGCCTGTAGGAAGAACATGGTGTCGCGCGGGTCCAGCAGCGGAAGGTCGCCCTCAATTTTCTCTAGCTCCTCCAACACCGAGTAGATGAGGCTACTGCCATTATCGTCACCTGCCACATAATAATGGCTTCATTTTGGGGATAATTTTCTAAAATATCGTCATCTATCACATAATAATGGCTTCATTTTAGGGATAATTTACTAAGCATTTATAATTATTAATTTATAATATAATAATATAATAATTTATAATATAATAATTTCCTCCAACACCGCGTAGACGAGGCTACTGCCATTATCGTCACCTGTCACATGATAATGGCTTCATTTTGGGGATAATTTTCTAAAATATCGTCATCTGCCACATAATAATGGCTTCATTTCATTGAGTTAGGGTCAAATTTCTAAGAGAATACAAATAGGTAATTCTTTTTGCCTAAATTTTAAATGTGCAGTTCATACACTTAGTAATAACAATGAATGAAAATACTCATTTATGAAAGACCGCATTCACAGAAATGCAAATGAAGGTGAGACTAAATCACTCATTCCGAAGCTACGAGAATTGAGGGAGGGCTGACATTGAGAGAACAATACAGATGGCTGACATTGAGAGAACAATACAGATGGCTGACATTGAGAGAACAATACAGATGGCTGACATTAAGAGGACAATACAGATGGCTGACATTAAGAGGACAATACAGATCAGCACGAGGGAAGGTACTGACGCTGACGGTAGTGTATGCTGACGAGGAAGAAGTAGGAGGTGAGAGAAGGCTTACAATACAGATCAGCACGAGGGAAGGTACTGACGCTGACGGTAGTGTATGCTGACGAGGAAGAAGTAGGAGGTGAGAGAAGGCTTACAGTACAGGTCAGCACGAGGGAAGGTACTGACGCTGACGGTAGTGTATGCTGACGAGGAAGAAGTAGGAGGTGAGAGAAGGCTTAATGCCGAGCAGCCTCATCTCCTGCAGCAGCTGCAGGCTGAGTTCCTTGGTCTTCCTGTAGCCTGCCGTCATGCTCAGCACCTGCAGGCTGTTGTCCAGCGTCTGCTGGTTGGGACGCAGCCCCTTGGACGCCATTGTCTTCAGTAGACCCTGGATTACAATAAACCACCTACTTAGCTTCCATATACATCCATTTTATCGTAGGTTAAGCACATTCAAACAGCCATAATGCTTCAGTTATTCATTCATTTAAATTTGAATTCGCTTGACACAAAATTATTTTAGAAGCATTGCCCAGGTAAGTGCAAACTGTACTAACCATTTGACAAGAAATAAGTTTCAAAAATCAGTAGTATAATTGTTTTTACATGCAAAAATTCTAGCAAAATTACCGTATCTTATGTCCCAGCTACACACAAAAAATTAGGTAGGTAAACAGCCTGACAATATTAAGAGAAAAAGCATGACATGAGGCACACACCATGAGGATGTTGACGCGCTCCTCGTATCCGTCGTGCCTGAGGGGGATGGTGAGCAGGAGGCTGTTGAAGGTGGCCGTATCCAGGGGCAGCCCCGCCGTCTGCGCCTCCTGATACCGCGACCAAGCCTCCTCTGACTGGTGGAGGGACATTGAGGTTAATAGTTCATTCAGTGTGCACTCTAATGGCATATATTGTACGTAATAAGGTGATTAGTTGATGTACAACACTTGAAATAAAGGGCTTAGGTGAAATAAAGGGCTTAGGGTGAAATAAAGGGCTTAGGTGAAATAAAGGGCTTAGGTGAAATAAAGGGCTTAGGTGAATCAAAAGAGTGCTAGAGAACTAGGGTTAGAGTGCTGACGTTGTTGTGCTTAGAGAGCAAAAGAGTGCTAGAGAACTAGGGTTAGAGTGCTGACGTTATTGTGCTTAGAGAGCCCCCTGATGAGCGCGCAGTAGGCAGCCGTTGACGGCTCGTCCAGAGACAAGAACAACTCGTCTGCCAAGCCACCGCTTCTGTCAACGTCAATAATCTTAATAAATAATCTGTCAACATCAACGTCAATAATCTCGGTCTTCTCATGTGACACTTTAGAAAAATTCAGTTCCAATTTTTCTTAATAAAATTTACAATTTTTCTTACTACTAAACAATTAAATTCTAAATTCTAACTAAATTCTTACTATTTTTTACAATTTTTCTTACTACCAAACTTTCTTGGAAATTTCCTATATGAGTTCATATGAAAAATTTCCCCCAAGTTAAAATGTGGGTTTTTTACATATTGATGATGGAGATACATTACATGGCAAGTGCAATCTAATAGTAATGTAAGTTCAAAGTATTGAACATTCAAGCAACACAGGCCGCGAAAACAGCAGTCGGGACTTGTATGGCCAACTCTAACAAGATAATTCACAGCGCCATCAATTTCCAAGCCATTAGACAAAAATTTATAGAAAAATAAGGTTTTAAATGCTTGCTCCGTTCTTCAATTATTGTCCATAGAACAACGTGATGAGATATTAAAATGTTTACTCATACGGGAAATTTATGTTTATAAAACAGCACAATACTATTGTGTGTCTCGGGTTAAAATTAAACAATATTCACAAGCATTCATGAACATCCTGCCAACTATCAGCGAGAGGACGATTGCCGAGCGTAAGCAAGGGAAGCATTATTAATGAGAATATTTAGCAGTGAACAAATTCAAGGACTATGACCAATAGATAAAAAACCTCTCTAGTATCTCACACATCTGCCACTAAGAGACCATTTTCAGAGAAAAAAAAAACAATAGAAATGTTCATTTCAGAGTATTATAATAACATAGTATAGATAACAGCTTTTTACACAGGCATACTTCCACGTGTTTATCATGTCTCGTCCAGGCCTGGCAACTTGAGCAAAGCTTCTCTCCTCAACCCAGTCCTCAGCAACGGCCTCCTCTTCGTTGTAGTAACACATGAGCTCCAGCAGCGACTGCTTGGTGGTGGCGCTCAGCTCTGTACGTACGAGGTCACTTGTAATACAAGCAGCGCAATGCTATACGTACGAGGTCACTTGTAATACAAGCAGCGCAATGTTATAGGTACGAGGTCACTTGTAATACAAGCAGCGCAATGTTATAGGTACGAGGTCACTTGTAATACAAGCAGCGCAATGTTATATGTCACGGCTGCCATTAGGTGGTCACATTTTGCCAATTGGGCGGCAGCGCCCCCCATTTGCAAACTATGACACTTTCCTAAAATCTGTCTTTTGCATATGTAATTAGAAGAGTTCTACTACAATGCACCACAACCTGGAGTTATTTTACCAAAAAATAAAATTGATTTTACCACCCGGTCAAAGAAACCCCAGGAGCTGGGGTAACAAAGACCATCACTTTTTTAAAATTGCATCAAAACTATGAGCAGCAGGAGCCAGCAATTTATGGTGAGTAAAGCTAGAGTATAGACCTGTATTTTGCATGTTTCAATTTAAGTTTAACTTATCTAGTAAAAAAATGGCATCGTTTTGAAAAAAAAGTGGTCAAAGTTACCCCATTTTACGGTAGGTACCTATGTTATATATGTACACATGTTCATATATTAACCCTCCCAAATTCTACCAGGGCTGCTTAATAGGCTAGAGCAGCTAAAGTGAATCAGATGAAGGCTCAAAATGCCACTTTTGTTGTGTCTCAAGAGGACTAAGTTGAGAACCCAAAATGCCATTTTAGTGGTGTCTCAAGAGTAGTTAGAGTACTAAGTTTTTATCAAGTTCAGACAGATGCAAGAGCGCGTCACAGTGCTACGTCATAAAGTCATACAAGACATAACTTTTACTGTTCTACACAATCTGTGATAGGTTTGAGCTTGTTGGCAGGTGGCCCAAAGCAATTTGGGTGACAGGGTGGCATTCTAAATGCCTTCTTAACACGATGACTCCAAAGTGGTACATATGGGTACCATGAAATGTATTTCTACCGGACAAAGTGGTGCATAATTCAGGTTGCCTAAAATAAGAAAAATCCAAGAACAAAAAAGGCCAAAAAAGGACAATAACCCAATATATACTAGTTTATTTGTAGGTTCCGCTATACAAATTCCATTTATTTTCTTTTTCCAGTACCTAAAATTTAATGGTATTATTGCAGATTAACTACATCCAAAAAAAAGGGTGTTTTTTTTTTTGAATTATATGTTTTTTGGGGTGTAGATTACGAATCTGAAATCCATTTTTGGCGGTCGGCATCGGAAAACCGATTTTTTTCCGACCCAAAAATCGCGCTAAAAATGCCTAAAATCAACGGGTAAAGCACGCGAATGCCTAAAATCAACGGGTAAATGCCCACTGCAACGGGTAAAGAAGACGAAAATGTTACCCGTTGCACTGCAACGGGTAACATTTTCGTCTTCTTTGTCCATAAATCTGGAGATACATTGCCACATCGAGAGATCACAACCTAACGCCAACTCGCAGGTTGGGTTGGTTCGCCCAGGTTCCTGTCTCTTATACACATCTAGATGTGTATAAGAGACAGGGTCACTTGTAATACAAGCAGCGCAATGTTATAGGTACGAGGTCACTTGTAATACAAGCAGCGCAATGTTATAGGTACGAGGTCACTTGTAATACAAGCAGCGCAATGTTATACGTACAAGGTCACTTGTAATACACGCAGCGCAATGTTATACGTACGAGGTCACTTGTAATACAAGCAGCGCAATGTTATAGGTACGAGGTCACTTGTAATACACGCAGCGTAATGCTATACGTACGAGGTCACTTGTACAAGCAATGTTATGCCACGTCATTAATAAATTGACAAACTTGTATGCAGGAATAAACTCCGAGAAGTGAGCAAAACTTGAGTCAAAATAGCAATGCACTTTTGGCCACGTGCGGGTCACTCTGACCCAGTTCGCCGCCTGGCAGAAGGGTGTATCAGTGCTACGTGCAAAAAGTGTTTCACCATTAGAATAACATGACCCACTCGTTATTTTGAGTGTGCGCTCAGCTAACGTCATAGCGTGGGACTAACATCCTCTTCCATGGTGAATAATTGCAGCAATGGTATCTTCAAGTACTTATATTATTAGTCTGCTTATATCGCAAGTTCACAAGGAATTTAAAAGTAAAGAAAACGCCAAGGAAATAAACCATATCGATATTGAAAAGTGTTTTCAACTAGTTTTCAATATCAATATGGTGAATTTTCGTGGCGTTTTCTTTGCTTTTAAATTCCTTGGTATTTTCAACTATCAAATTCTCAATTCTTCACTAGTTGTAATTTGACAATACATACTTGCAAAAAAAATTCCTATCCAACAGGTATTGAAAGAATGAACAAATTTATAGAGACAAATGCAGCTTCTTTACATCTTTTGATTAGCCCATGAAAGCTTACAACAAATTTTCCATTAACAGCACCAAAAAAGAGCCATGAATATCATGAACAGCTAAAATTTTCACTCATCTCTTATTATTGCAAAAGAAAATGATTCTCAAATGATATATTTGGCAGTCTTTAGTTAATTTCCAATCATAAAACAAAGAGCAACAGGATGAAAAGAAAGTAATTACCTATCCCCTTAGAAGAACACAATCTGTACACAGTCGCTGCGTCCACCACCTTGCAGGACGCAATGAGCTTCTGTAGGATTTCTTCACTCACTTCCGACTCTTCGGAGTATTCTTCAATAGGTAAAAATTTCTGGGGAAAATAATTACGTGGAAACATTCCATGATAAATTGATTAACCTATTGAAACATAAAAATGGCTCTTATCAGCACTGCTGAGCACGTGGCTCTTATCAGCACTGCTGAGCACATGGCTCTTATCAGCACTGCTGAGCATATGGCTCTTATCAGCAAGGCAGGATGTGGCAGTGCCTGGATTTTGATATTCAGACGTGACCTCAACTCTCCTAACCTGCTAGCACTGATGACAGAATTGTAATTTTGGGAAAATGGAAATTTTGACACTTTTTTTGTCCCCATGAAGAAATATAAATGGATAGATGTCAAAGCAAATTAAAGATAAAAATATTTAGTTGGCTCATATACATATTGTACATTGATTAAGCATCCTTCTCTTAACAGCATAATTGTTTTAATTTGCACCACATTCCAGCATATCTGCCATTCTATCAATAGAAATGGTCAAAAATTACATGTTTCACACCCATTGCTCACATCTAAAAAAATAACAGCAGTAGTAAGAAATAACAATCAAATTCACTATTAATTAAAAATCCATAAAGCTAATATCAATTATATTTAGAGTTTTACCTCAACAGCGGGGGCATCTGATGTGTTACTAAGAAAGAGGTGTGGGTGTTGGTCTCTGATCCATGCAGCAGCTTTCCTGCCACTCTCCCGAGCTAGAGCATACACTCTTCGGTCCATGGGCGTGATAGGGATAAGGTACGGGTCGTCATGGTAACGGTAGTGGGGTCCTGTCTTGTCTCTGCTTATTGTGCTGTCAAGAGCCTGAACAAAAGACAGGGATAAGGTACGGGTCATCATGGTAACGGTAGTGAGGTCCTGTCTTGTCTCTGCTTATTGTGCTGTCAAGAGCCTGTACAAAAGATATTTCCCAATGCAAATGCTGTATGTAAACAGTTCAAAGAGATCATTCAAAGTCCTAAATTGCCTATTGATTTTTATTCACAAAACAAGTAACATATTTTGAATATATATTCCACATTGTGATTAACAGAAAAAATCTAAATAGAAACCATATAAATAGGATGACATGACAAACTGCAAATGAATGATCAGAATATCATTTACATAAAATAACCCTCAGAAGCAGAAGCACCTCCCCAGTGCTTGACTGAAAGATAGGTGAGTTGCCACACAGAAGTGACCATTAAACTCACGGCTCCTCAATAAATATCATACAAGCCTGGTCGGAACAACAAATTGTAGGGTTTCATTAACAAGTAATAACTATGAATCTGTTTCAATCTTGCTGGGAATTTGTGATTCAGTTCTGCAGAGAAAATAGATCATTTGTACAGAGTGCCGGCAATATAAGTACTGTGGCAAATCAAGTGGCATTAACATTAGCTTTTTTCAGACAATGGAATAATAAGTTGAATACCTACTCTGCTCTGCCCCATCCTGTGAGAAATTCTTCATTTCTCATCATGAATTTGTACATAGATTCTAGGTTGCCTTCATTTATTCAATTTTTCTGATTTCATTTGTAGAATACTGATATGTAGTTATTCAAAGTCAGCAATTCTGTAGAAGGCCTCAGGAGTCAACAAGAGTCAGAATCACATGGTTCAAACATTTGCTGCAAGTGATAACCAAATTCAAATTCTTTATGCAATTGCAAGTCAAACTGGAATTTAATCATAAATCTCTTAAATGTATCACCTGCTATCGCCATTCATAAACAGTTTAGCAAATTTTTCTGCACCCCAACATTCAAGTGTTCCTTATATTGTTCTTGAAACCTATTTCTTTATTCCTTAGTTTATGAGGATGTCATTTAAATTTTGTTTTGGTCCTTTTGCTCCTTTAAATTCAATTGCTTATTCTGTTGGGAAGTTGGAGTTAGTTTGAGTAGTTAAATTTAAATTTAATGCTTAGATTTAAACACTAGTTCAATCAATCAATTAATTCTTTGCTCTGGTAGTGTAGTGTATTTATACTGTACCTGCAAAGTTCACTATCATTAAACCTTAAGATTAATTCTATTTCTAATTTTCATAAGCAATTAAACCTCTTACCATTCTGTCTATTTTTCCAGTCTAATTTCCCACCCCTTTAACAGATTTCCACTAATTCCCACAATAATTCTTCATTAAAAAAGTCTTCAACTACGGTAGGCAATAAAAACTCAGGGTGGCAGATCATTGATGAATTTATCTTGGTTATCTGTTGTCAATATTTAGATATTTTTTTCAGTGCCAAGTGTGTTTATTCTCAATTTAAATCCATTTCTTCCACAGTATCCAGTTATCCCAATCCAGCAATTGGCCTGCTTATCTTCACTATTTTTTACATAACCCTTTTGTTATCCTGTTTTTCAACAGATCATCTGCTATGGGCCTTCAATTATTGAAGCAATTTGCATTAAATTCAGCAGGAGAATCCGGCAGACAAAACGGATCATTTCAAACGTTTGAAAGACACTTTAATCTTCATCTCACGATAACTCTTCATCTGAACAACCTTGAATGCCCTTCAAAACTTTTTGGTTAAACTTAAAAATAAAAGTTCCCAGAATTGTTTCTTTGCCTTAGCTTCCTCAATTGTGAGAAAAACATCATTGTCCCCCCAATACTGCAACTCTGTTGAGAACTTGTCTAGCAAACTAACAGTTGCTAGTAGCTATATAGATTCTAAAACCCTCAACATGATGCAATGGTTCTAGTTCTTTTTGATTAAAACTAGATCCTAGAACATGTTAGGGATACCAAAGAGTGAATAACAAATTTGTTACTACCATCAAATGGGGTAATAAGGGACGGGCAGCGGCAGGGTAAATCGGGACAGTCACCACACATTTCGTAGAAATGTTTTAGCAGCTAAACAAATCAAAATATTGCAAAACTAAAAATAATGGTGTAAAGTTCAACATTTTTACTATCTACGGTATGTAGTGTGAAGTTAGTTAAGAAATCATACACTTAATATATGTCTGAAAAATTCCTGAAAAAAAGTTTGAAAAGCAATATTTTGGAAAAGAACCTCTGCTAAGGTCTGTAGCAAAGAAAATATTCACTGGATTAAAAAATTTTACTTAACATAAAAGTTGCACACAAGTGATGGCTTGAAAACATGATCGACAAAATTTGCGTCTCTCATTGAAAAAATGGCAGCCATTTCCACAGGATGGTGTAATAAGGGACACCCCTAAAAACGCATTTACAGTTAAACCTCAGTTAGCAAAGGCACCAATTAAAAAAAAATTGATTAACAACATAGAATTTTGATTACATTTACCTCGCTCAGCAAAAAAATTTCTTCTATGATTTATTTCTCCAGACAAATGATGTTACTAAAACATTCCTTCCTGTTTCAGGTATGTTTTTTATGATCTTTTTTATAGTGAATTCACTGAGGTAATTTGATCAAAATAATGTGAAATTACAAGCCATCCTGTAAGCTTACATATACAGAAGAAATGCTACATGGCTGCTGATATGAAGCTTGCAGTGGACAAGGTAGTTGTCAATACTCAATGGCATGTTCATGGATACGGTAATATCACATCAATAATACCGGTATGGTAATGGATGAATATGGTGATATCATATTAATAAATGAAAAACAAGTAAAAATCACAGAAAATATCATTTATTCTACATCTACATCACCTACAATGAAAGAGTAGGACTTCAGAGTACTGTTAGTAATGGATGAGTACACTTTGCATGCTTCAAACTTTCTACAATAAAAGACGAGGCCTTCAGAGTACTGTTAGTAATGGATGAGTACACTTTGCATGCTTCAAACATTTTAAAATTGAGTTTTATTTCAAGTGTCTCTCAGATTACCCCATTCCCACAGGTAATTCAGGATGCTTACATTTTGCGTCTGGCACCTTACATATAGCATATGGATTTTTTTAGAGATGCCATTTGATAGCCCTCACAAAGAGTTTTAAAATGAGGCTAATGAGCCCAAGGACGTTTCTGAAATTTTTCATGGTATGAAGTTATTACCAAAAAATGCTCAAAACCATCCCTTATTACCCCATTTGACAGAATATATATACATACCTTGAGAATATCAGTAGGAGAGCGAGGAATGTGCTCAGGCATCCGGAACTCTGGGCCATTGTCAGATGAACAAGTCAGGAATGCCCTGAAAAGCAATTCACTTGCAGACATTCTAATCTAACTAAAATATTCATTGCACTTGAGCCCTTTTTCTACCAATAATGTCTTAAGAAAGAACTTACATAATTTACAAACATTGAGTTCATTTGATAAATCTTGCTTATCAAACTTATATTTCACTACCACTTAAAAAATTCATGTTACTTATATACAATTTTTTTGGGATGGTATATATACATACCCTCTGGGCTAAATTTATTACCAGACATCATTTTCTTAATTAATTGAAAGAGTGACCATATGTTTCTATAGTTCTGATCCTGGGGCTGGATTATCAAAACTTTGTAACTTTTTGTGCTTACGACAAAAAAAGTTACCTATCTGTTATGTACGTAAGTACACCCTAATTTTGGCCTTATCAAAACTTTCGTATGCAAGACTAGCTAAAAGCGTACCGGTATTATCAAAACCATCTGGCTAACTGACCAATCATAGGCTTGGATTTGCTCTTCCTATAGCTCCAGTAAGCTCCTCTGGACCAGTACGCAGTGCACTTGGACAAAAGCAGGATGTGTGGTGTCAGACACCCATTTGCGGTGCCTGACTACGGTTTATTTGGATAAATGAGTGAGAGGTTATGCAAATAGCAATACACTTATTGTTGTGATCATTAACCAAAATTTCTTGCAATAATTGCAAATAAATGCATTATTCCCATTCAAAATTAGAATAATTTTTTAGAAGGCCAAGAATTTAGAAAATTTTGTGAGCTGGAGTTGCGACTGTCATATTAAGAAATAAATTTGTTTACGGAGAACTAGAAAATGGTTCTTGTAAACCTCAATATAACTTTGAATCAAAAAGGCATTAGGATATTGTTCAAGTGAATGATCATAAAACTCTTAAATATGAATATAAAAATTTGCTTGGAAATTATAGCACAAAAGGCAAGTGACATTTTTATCCCAAAAGCACCGTTTAGCACGATCACATATTATGTGTTGCATCATTGATAAAATTCTATCACAATTCACTGTGTTGCTGCTTGCTAGTAAATCAATAGTTTCCTATTGCTTCAGCAGACACTCTAAACTTGTGCCGAACTCCACTTACAACATCTCCGAGCAGGCGTACAGTTACGTTACGTAGCTTCCCACGCAAATGTTTTGACAATACCACTGCTAGAGTTACGTCATCATATCAGCACTTACGCCACTCATAAGTCAATTTTGCGTACTTACAAAGTTTTGATAATATGGCCCCTGATCCCAGCATTGCTTACTTGTTGCAATGCACAAATATACAATTGCACTCTAACTTGTCTTCACACAATATACACAAATAAATTTTGGACACATGACCAGCACTTATCCAATTCTATGAAAACATATGCCCTACCATTAAGATCATGAATTATGAACATTTTAAGGTGTTACGTTTGATAAATTTTTGCTGAAATGTTTAAATGACTATTGCCCAATACTTTAGAATCGTCCAACAAATCTGTGTCCTTAAAGAAGTTGTATCAACTTGTAACCTAATCTCAAACGCAGCCAGCCTTTCAGCATTCATGCAAAGACAGCTTAACCCTTTAGTGGCAAGCTACCTTGCGAGTGTAAAAAGCTACATTGCAGCCATACCACGTGGCTGAATTTATTCATTGGAAATAACCTGACAGGTGAAAAAAGTCTCCACCTTGGTATGGTCCAGCTGTAAATTAAAGCCAATATTTTTGTCCAATTGGACAAATGGGCTTCAAATATAAAAAATTGCCCATATAACAAGCAACATATAGGTATGTACAGCTAGATGCAAAAGAGTTAAACTGGAAAATGTTGAATGAGTGAACGAGACAGAAGCACTCATGCTCACTGATATTTCTAGTACCTACTTTCTATAGTCTTTGCCTAATTTCTTACATGAAAATTTAAAAAAATGCAAATTTTAGCCCAATATTTATAAAATATCACCCGTGAAACACTAAATTCTTCTCACAATTTTTGGCACAAAAAATCAGTCCTTTATTAATGTAATGATAGTCAATTCCTCAAAAATATTTCAAAGAATCTTATTTTCATTTTGTTCAATTATCATGAATGACATCAATAATAATTTCAATTTGTACAAATCAATAAATTTTTATCAAAAATAATATTAATTCGTGAATACCTGTTGGTGCTAGCTGCTCCTTTTATGTTAACATTCTTCAAAAATGTTTGCCCTACAAGATGACAGCACCGGCCAAGGGCTGATTGAGATGCCATCACTCCAATAAAAATTATACTGATAGATCTGTAAGGAAAAAATTAATAAACAAAGCAGCTGGTGATATTTCCATAGTCACATATCATATGCATACCCATGATTCCACAAAAATGTTTGCTCTCATTAGATTTATGTTGGAGTCAGTTTTGTTTAAAAAATACATTTTTCATATTAGGGGCGTGCAACATAACTTGCATAAGACAACTGGCATTGAGCCATTGACAATAGAGTAGTCTTATTACTAGTCTACGTCAATGTTGTCATTCATGACATGATTTCATCATTCATATTTCATGTTACATGATTCAACTGAAAAAAAATAACCATCAATAATAATAAGTTAGCCACAGCACTTTTGCAGGGCAGCCTTCAAAAGGAATGATACATTTTCTAGACATAACTGAGCCACAAGTTTCTAATGAAGTTGTAAAAGATTCTTAGCTTTCAAGCCTCTGTTATCCATTGAAGTGACCCCAAGCCTCTTTTTTTTACCCCAAGCCACTTTTTGATTTCAAGCCTCTGGTGACCCCATTAAAGTAGTATTCAAGTATACTCATGGTTTATACAAGCAGCTCAGAAAGATGACTAGAATTGAAAAAAGAACCAACACCAAGGGGTAGGGACCACAGACCCATGGCTATAAACTGCAAAAACTGAGGTGCAATTCATCCATGTAACAACACTTCTATTTGCTTCAAGCCACCAACATATGGAACAGCTCCTCTAGTGACATCATTGACACACCAAGTAAGAACAAGTTCAACTGTTCAAGAACAGACTAGATGAAGCTATGGGAAACAGGGTTGGCAATGAGTAAATCAAACTGATTAAATAACACTTTTTTATAAAAAGTCATGATTTTTTTATTTTCTTGATTTTTTTATATATTTCAATATATTGAGTAGTAAGTAGTCTTCAATTTATTTTGAGGTATTATTATTCATGGTTTGATATAAGTGTACTATGACAAATTGGAATATAAACCTGTTGCCTTTAATCTTAGTGTGTATTGTACGTTCCATTGAATTGTATGTTTTTGGTACAGAGGCATCAAGTGTTGCAATACATTGTATATATAACATAGCTAGCAGCTTAGCTAATTCTTATAAGGTTATAAGTACGGTAGTCTTTAACCAACTATTTGACTATTTATTATATATTGATCACATTATACAATTTACATACATGTGTTATCTAGCTTATATAAGGAAGGTTGGTTGAGATTGTATTGACCTTTTAGGCCTTTAGAATTTAGAAAGAATTTCCACTCTAATATGAGTACTGTCAAGTGGGGTGACTTTGGCTAATGGGGGTGACTTTGGCCACCACTACAACAGAAACAAATGGCAGCAAAACAAAATAATAAATGTAGGCCAAAGTGCCTGGGGTGATTTTGGCCTCTGGGGTAACTTTGGCCAATGTTTATTATTTGGTTTTGCTACCATTTGTTTCTGATGTAGTGGTGGCCGAAGTCACCCCCGGTGGCCTAAGTCACCTCACTTGATGGTATTCCAATTAATATATTTAATTTCAATCTTTAAATATGTGAAGTCATAACTAAAAATAAAACAATTACAATTTTAAAACTATATATAAAATAATTAAATGAAGCAAATGGAAATAAAATGTTTGAATTGTGTACATGTTTATTTCAGTGTTAGCTTTTCTCATAACATGTCTTATTTCTAGTCATTTGAGGTTTGTTTGGTTGTCGTTCAGTTTGTTTAGTATTGGTTAATTGGTCCGAATCAAATGAGAACAGTGCAGTCAGTCACTCAGTCACTAGGCACTAGTCAGTGTGTTTAGAGGGTAGAGTCTGGTAGATTTATAGCACAAAAAACTGGTAGATCTATTGAATATAGTGTTGTGCCCTGCGCTATCAGCTACCTATCTGTTATGTGACTTTTCAATGTTTAGAAGATCTGCATTCCTGAAGTTTTGTTATACATTGGAGCCAGTTAAATGGTCAATATTTAGCTTGTTACCTCGCTCCATACAAACTTTACAAAGCTAATGAATAGACTTTTCAATAATTGTTTCCCCAAAAGTCCCAAAGTGGTAAACACCACCTTGGCCATTTTTGAAGGCAATAATTGCCCTATTTAGCCATCCATATACTGTTATTGTTAGTAGGCTCATTGCACATAAAAAAATAATATTTTAAAAAGATAAAAAAGCTGAAAAAAAAAGAAAAAAATCTTTAAAAAATAAAAAATCCTAAATTTTTAATTTTCTTGATTTTCTTAAAAAATTCAAAAACTCACCAACCCTGATGGGAAAGTATATCTTCAGATTTGAAATGCCTAGCACCATACAAACCCAGTAGGGTCTAGTAGCTATTCGAAACAAACAACTGTTTTGAAAAGATCTGGTCAAAGGGCCAGTTCTTACATCACTGTGAGCAAGTCACAAAAAGTACAAAAATTGGTGACAGGCCACACCAGACAGTCCAGCTTAAGTGGAAAAAATATAACTCAGTACTCACTGCAGTGAGTGACAGAGATGGACAGACAGACGGATATGGCAAGCACAATAGTGCATTTTTTCCATAAATGGGGAAAATGCGCTAAAATTATAACCCAGTACGGTACTCACTGCAGTGAGTTACAGAGAGCACATTTTCTTGTCGACAAAAATGTGGTCATGGATGGATGGATGGATGGACAGACAGACAGACGGACGGACATGATGAGCACAATAGCGCCTTTTTTACATAAATGAGAAAATGTGCTAAAAATGCAACATAGAGGATTTGTATGCCTGTTAATGTACTACCCAGGAGGGTTAGGCAACAAAAAATTGCTAATAATTCCACAGGATGTACAAAATAAGACAGAATTCAAATTTAATGCTGCAGAGCAATCTGTGAAACATAGCATGTGAAGTATGAAGCAAAGAAATTGTATCAGCTAAATGCCAGACAGGCAAAAAAGCAATAGGGGCTCATGCAGCTACTGCACCAGGAACAAGGTTCATGCACATGGTATCTGTATAACAAGAATGAAACCAGTTGGAACACAAGTTTGATGTCAGTTATTTCACTTCAATCATTTGTTCCCAGCAATAAATGGTAATTGATTCATCAACAAGGTATTATTTTGTTAGTAAATAGATACCAGTACTTGAGTGTTCTGTCCATAGTGAAATATCTAAAATTTTAGGTGCCATAGTCTGAACTCTGAAGTAATATGAATTATTTTTTTAGAATAATTTTTTTTTGTTCCTGAGTTCACATCAAGTTGGTTGTTGCCATCAATATTGGTGCAAAAATGATGGCACTAATATGAATACGCTTGGCAAGGCAGGGCAGTGTATGGCATTGGGGAGTACAGGTCACAGTGATAGTTGTCCAAGCAGTGTTTGTAGGCATCTAGTGAAGAATGGTGGCTACAGCAGAGTCTGCTGAGGTGCACCCAGTCTGCATGGCTCAGCTGCTGCTCTGTATGGCTGAGGCTGATATCTGGTGATGTGTCATCTATATATATATATATTTTTTTTAATTTGATTTTAAGACTTTGGGTGTGAAACAGTCACACCTCCCAGCCTGAGCACAACTTGATTTTTCTTGAAAACTCCAACTCAACTGCCTCTTCACATCATTTTGAATTTTCCTTCATGCTCTCACAAAGAGGTTTTTGTGTGGAAGAAAATAACAAAGGAATTAGGCACTGATAATTTTCATAGGGTGTTCACCATGCTGCATCTTAGCAGGGATTGTCCCAGGCAATGAATGGTCGCAGTTCTCCTTCTTTGAGGAATATCACCCCCTCCCAGAGCTGTGATGAGGTTCCAAGGAAGTGAAAGGTTCTCCAGATTTGTGCGAAACTCCTTCCTCTGATTGATGTATAGCAAACAGTGCAAAATGAAATGCTCAATTGTGTCTTCTGTGTTGCATGTGGGGCAGATGCTGGAATTGGCCAAATTGAAGCGGGCCAAGTGGGCTTTCACACCAGCATGACCAAGCCGCAGACAAGCCACAGCACATTCAACTGAGCGAGGTAGTGGTCCATAGTCCACATGATTTACTGACTCTCCCAAGCCCAGTCTGAAGGTTCCCCTTCCAGAAGACTGCACTTCCTCTGACCACCAGAGTGACCAAAATTTCAAGAATTTGTTCTTTAACAGACAGAGCCACTCCTCAAAGCACAAACTGGATCTGGCAGAGCGATCATTTGCATGTGCGAGGTTTGCTATTATGTCAGCCACTTCATTCCCACGAATGTTGCTATGACCATGAACCCAACACATCATCACTCTATCGAGCCCGTTGATTTGCATCAGTTTATGAATTTGAGCAATGATTGAGCAATAGGAGCAAACTGACAGTGAAGAAAGAATTTGCAGTGCTGCTCGTGAGTCAGTCAGGATCAGAATTGGCTTATCCTTCAGAGCTTCATCAGTGATGGCAAGCTGCATGGCTTTGAGTATAGCAAATAATTCAGCGCCCAGTATGGTGTGCACTGAATTCAGCAGCCACCCAGTAGCCAGGTTGGTAGATGGCAGGTAAAGACCAGCGGACACTGATCCAGTAGCAGAACGTGATCCATCAGTATAGATCTGCCTATGCTGAGGATAGTTCTGCTTCCAAAAGTCTTGAAAGCCATTCTCAGTGATTTCACGAGGCATCAAATTGGCATCAGGGCTCAGCAGGTCCAGGCAGATGCTGGAAGAAAGATCCACGTGAGGTGGAAAACACAATAGCAGCAAAGTTGGAACACGTTGCAAGGGTGGAAGGTTCAGCATCTGGAAACTTTGACAAGCTGTTGCAATAAATGGAGAGTCCAAAAGAATCTCCTGATCCAGGAATCCCAACATAGATGCCACTTGGTCCCCCACAGGCAAGTACATGCACCCACTTCATGAATAGGAAAAGAAATCTGAGTTTCAAGGGAGGAATGAAGCTTTCAACTTGCAAGGATAAGACAGGTGTGGTACAATGAGCACCCAAAATGTATCTGAGTGCTGAGTTTTGCACAGTCTCTAGTTGCTTTAACAGAGATTTAGAGACATTTCCTAAAATTGTGGAGCCATATTCCATCCTGCTTCGAATGAATGCCACAT